GAGGTGCATGCTTTTGGTCCCTTCTAGAAAACCGCACCTGTACTAACCCACCCCCACCTTACAAGGTGCTACTTTTCATCGTGGCAGACACGTTGGAGGAGAAGCGGCTGAGCGCGATCCGCGCGTACCTTGAGTGGTACATCTTCTGCGCTCAGGCATGCCATACCGAGAGGAGCCTGTCGACTCTAGAGGAGTTGACGCATAGGTAATTTTAACTGCAATGAACAAATGCTTGAACATAAGGCTTGATTATTTTCTGGAGACTTGTGGCTAACAAGATAAACACATGTGAGAAATCTATATATGCTCTAGGCATTTTGCAAAAAAATCAAATGCCACACAAACCCACCCCAACAGGCTGGTCAAGCAGCTGCAGGATGCTTTTCCAGAGCAAAAGTCAGATTGGTGTTTTCCAGAGCAAAGCGCACCTGATGACTCACTATGCGGCAGCTTTCAGGAGAGCGGGTAGTGTATTAGAGTTCGCAACCGCTCCCAGCAGCCGCAAGTTTTGACGACCCTTTTTTGGACCGGGTTCCCTGGTGACGCGTCTGCGTTCCACGTCTGGGGCTGCCTCGCTCACGATCATGCCTCTGACACGGACAAGCTCACTGCCCGCACCGTCCCCTGTGTCTTCCTACGTTTCCCACTTGACTCATCTGACTGGCACTTCTACCACTTGCTGTCTCACTGCTTCTTTCACTCCCGTGACGCCACTTTTGACGAGTCTGTATCCATTTACCATCGCTTTCCCCACCGAGGTCTCCCAGTTTCCCCTCCCCTGTTTCTGGTTCCGACTCCCCCGGTAGCCCCTGCTCACCTCCCTCCCCATCCAGCTCCGTCTGGTGTGTCTCACATCACTCCCCTCCCGTCAATTGTCCCGGTCGAGGAGTCGGCGGACCCTGGTGGCCTCGCGGCGCCGTTCTTGCCGCCTACCTCTTCTCGAGTGCCTCCTCCGCCACCGTCGCAGTAGCCGCCACAGCAGCCGCCGCAGCCATCGTCGCAGCCGCAGCAGCAGCAGCCGCTACCGCCGCCGCAGCAGCAGCCGTTCATGGACTCTGGAGGTGCTGGCGTTAGGGAGGGTGCTAGTCCTGGGGTTCCTGACGTGGCTTGTCCCGGCGGGCCTGGGGGTGGCACCGGTGCTGGAGAGAGTTTTCGCTCTTGTGTTGCTCGTTCTGGGGGTGCTCGAGAGGAGTGTTCCGAAGGTAGCTGTGGAGCAGCTGGCAATCCAGGTGTCAGCGTAGAGCAGCAGCAGCAGCAGCACTTGCCGCCGGTGTCCGCCCTTCACCTGCTCGGCCTTCCCTCCCCTGACCACTCGCCTGTGCCTCCCCCGCCGCCTCCTCCTCTTCCTGTCTATGGCCCTGTATTCCCTCCGCCGGACTCATCTCTGGCTCGTCTTGCCTCTCGTTCTCCTCTTGTGTCTCCTCCTCTGTCTACTGAACCGACAACTCCGTCTCAGGTCTGGTCTCGCTGTCCCTTTCGTGCTCATCCTGTCTCTCCTATTCAGCGTTCTCACCCTATATTGCTTCGCCTCCTCTGTCGTCACTTGCTGTCATGCCTCCCCCTCTGTCTGACTACCTTCGTGACGCTCGACCTCTTGTTCCTCCGGTCCTTGCCTTCCTCGTTACCGACCCGTCACTCCCTGTCTCAAGTCTTGACGTTCTCGTCGCTGCCGTCGCTGACTTCACCTCTACCCACCACCTTGACTACGCCACCGCTCTGGTTTCTGACCCTGTCTGTCCTCCGTCCGTCAGGGGTGAGTCTTCCCTTGGTAGTAACGTCCTAGAGGACAGAGAGAAGGAGCTTGCTTTCCTGTCTGAGGCTGCTCCCCCTCTCTGTTCCATGCTGCTTGTCCCAGAGGGTGTCCCTGGACGCCCTTGACATCCCGACCCCTCCCACTTACGCTGAGGCGACCTTGGGACCCTGGGCCTCTCAGTGGATAGCTGCCATGGAGCCGGAGATGGCACATTGGAGATCCACCGGCACCTACGTCGACGCAGTTCCCCCACCTGGGGTGAACGTAGTCGATGGCCGTTGGCTCTTCAAGGTGAAGCGCCCCCATGAAGAGCCGCCTGTGTTCAAGGTGCGCTACGTGGCTAGAGGCCTCAATAAGAGCGAGGGGATGGACTTCTTCAAGACCTCCGCCCCGACCCCGAAGATGACTACTCTCGGGCGCTGCTACACGTAGCAGCACAGCGTGAATATGAGTTACACTCCCTCTCCACAGCGTTTCTCCAGGGCAGTCTACATGATCGCAGGGCTTCACGAGTACCTTCCCTCCTGGAACCCAGTTGCTCCTCCGGCGCCCGGTCTACGGCCTGCGACAGGCACCCCGTGAGTGGCACGACACGCTGCATGCTACGCTAGCTGACCTGGAGTTCTTTCCATCCTCTGCAGACACCTCGCTCTTCATTCGTGCTCACCAGACTCCGTTCTACATCCTTGTCTACGTAGACAACCTGGTCTTCGCTACTGCAGACAGAGACGCACTGGCCTCCATGAACGCCGAGCTGCTGAGGAGACAAACCTGCACTGACATAGGAGAGCTGCGCCGCTACCTTGGCCTGCAGATCTCTCGGAACAGAGTAGTGCGAACCATCACTCTCACACAGTCACACTTGGTGCGTTAGGTCCTTCAGAAGTTCGGTCTTCAGTTCTGCTCTGCACAGCCCGCACCTCTGCCAGTAGACTACAGGCTCTCTGCTCCAGTTCCTAAGGAGTCAGTAGAGCTCAGTGGTCCTTACGCAGAGCTGGTGGGTTGCCTCATGTACCTCATGACTTGCACTCGTCCAGATCTCGCATACCCTCTCAGCATCCTGGCTTGCTTTGTGGCCACAGGTAGACACCGACCACAGCCTTGGTCGGTCGCTAAAAGGGTTTTGCGTTATCTAGCAAGTACATCAGGCATGGGGCTAGTGTTGGGAGGACGCTGGCCAGTGGTCCCTTACATAGCACACAGGCGCTTCTTGGGCAGACGATGCTGAGACCCTCATGTCCACTATGGGCTACTTCTTTAGCCTTGGTTTGGGTGCCATCTCGTGGAGGTCCACTTGCTCCTCGTCTGTTGCCCAGTCTAGCTGTGAGGGTGAGATCTACGCCGGTGCCATGGCGGCACAGGAGCTCCGCTGGCTGACCTTCTTGCTCACCGACTTAGGTGAGCGGCCTAGCTCTGCCCCGGTTCTGTACGCTGACAACAGGGCCATGATCCTCCTGTGCCAGGAGCCTTGACTTGAGGGCAGAGCGAAGCGCATCCAACTGTAGTACATCCTCCTGCGCGAGCTACAGCAGCGTTGCCAAGCCCTTGTAGTATACTTGGCCTCCGGTGCCAACACAGCTGATATCTTTACTAAGGCGCTTGCGCCTAAAGATCATCAGCGGCACTGTTTGCAGCTTGGTCTAGTTCTTGTAGACTCTCCCTTGCTAGGATCTTGATTGTGTACTCCTCTTTATATATATCTTTCAGACTGGCCTTGTGGCTCCTCTTCCAGTGGCCGGACTAGTAGTGCCGCCCTGGTTTGCTTGTGCCTTGTCTGTACTCTTGCTGACTGGTCTTCGGTGTTAGAAGACTAGGCTAGGAGGAATGGAAGGAAGCCATGGAATGGCGTGAGGGTTTAGGTGCTAGGAGCTAGGAGGGAAAGTTGACGAAAGAAAAGAGGGTGAACTAGAAGAGAGAGAGGCATACAAGGAGGGAGTTGTACCCTCTACATTAGAGTTCGATAAAACCTACCAAGCCTACTAATTATATAACAAAATATATGATTTAACACACCCCATAGGCTTGGTACTCACAAGCCCAGCCCACATGCAACACCTCTAAGCCTAGCACCCCCATACACTGCAGCAGATGTGACTGCAGGGAAGGAAGGCGCTAGGCCTTCTTGAGCTGCGGCGGGGCGGAGCCAGCTTGCGTGGCGAGCTGGGACCGACGCTGCGAACTGGGACCGACGCGACGAGCTGGGTCCGACGTGGCGAACAGGGTTCGACACGACGAGCTGGGGAGGCGCGGCGAGCTGGAGTGCGGGCTTGCTGCCCGGTGCCTAAACCAGTGCGCGGCCCACTGCCGCCCGTGCGCTGACGTGACGACGGCGGCACGGCGGCACTGAGGCACGGCGACGTGACGGGGCCGGCGCGGAGGTACGGGGCCAGCACAGCGTGACGGGGCCAGCGGGGTGACGGGGCCAGCGCGGCGTGACGGGGCCAGCGTGGGGTGACGGGGCCGGCGCGGAGGGACGGGGCCGGCGCGGAGGGACTGAGCCGGCACGGAGTGACGGGGCCGGCGCGGCGTGACGGGGCCAGCGCGCCAGCGCGGCGTGACGGGGCCAGCACGGAGTGACGGGGCCAGCGCGGCATGACGGGGCCAGCGTGGCGTGACGGGGGCAAGCCTACTAATTATATTACAAAATATATAATTTAACATTCGGACCCCTGTCTCAGTTATATGCGAGATAGGTGTGTTTTCTTAGAGGGTACAACTCCAACCCTATATCTATCTTGTTCAACCTTGTTTCTATTCATTCTCTTATTCTAACGCACTTACCCATCTTGCCTATAACTGCTACATATAATACATATGTGTAAGTTGATAGATCGATAGACCATTCAGATAGGTTGAATGAGGTATGGTGTGCTGGTGCTGGACTACGTTTCAAAGTTCATTTGACGTGGTAAAGTTTGGTGATTGTTCGGTTCGGAAGCTGTTCATGAAAAATGTGACATGCCCTAAAAGCTATAAATAATTGGACGTGCTAATATTCATTTTTATTGAGATATTTTCGAAATAGTGTTTATTACTTATTCTCATAATTCGCATACACCGTAGTTGTGCAGAGCTGACCATACTCAATCAAACCAAACCCTTTCAACCAGACTAAAACCTTCCAAACCAGCGATTGAACCAAACCAACCAGACAAAACCAGGCCAGCCTATGTCACAACAACTTGCCAAAGCTCCCTCTGACAGAGGTTGCTACATTTTAGGGACCCGCCAATTGCGGAATCTCTCTCTCTAGTCCACAGGTCAGGAATACTACACTCGCGGATCCAGAAACCACCGTCCGGCTTCACTACACCAAGCCAGAGCCACACCGCAATCCTCGGAACCAGCCTACCGCGCCGGGTTCGCGGGTCTCTGTGTTCCAGTCGCTAGAGTCAGTCATCATGGATAGAACGCTGGTGCTTTTCGCCGCGAGACGGTCCTGCAGATTGCTAATCTACGTAGCACGTAGAGTGCTCGACTGCTATGTGCCGGTAGTGAGGTTAAGCTCTCGCAGCCATGGCGACGGTTTTAGGAGTATCAGAAGGAGAGAGCGAGCGCGTGGAGGTGGTTCCAGACACGGTAGTGAAAGTAGCGCCGGTTCAAGACACGGTAGCACCACCTCCCAGCGAATCCTCCATAGTCAGTGAAAGCCGCTCGGCACGCAGCGAGCGAGTGAAGGTCGCGTGCCGCTTGCGACCGCCATCGCGAATCGGACCTCTCGCCTGGACGGTCGCTGACAATGTACGTTGCTGCTGCTTCTGGTTCGTCGCAACCGCTAGTGATAGACTTGGATGCTTCTGCTTCTGCTTCTGACAATGGCTTTAGCGAGCCAGGCGGTAGTGATACGATATGAGGCGTTCACCTTTCCGCTACCATTCAGGTACCAGATTCGTTCCGATGGGCCCGGGGCTTTCTTTCTCCGCCCGTCGTCTCGTCTCTCTGGCTTCGTTTCCGCTCCTGACCCAATTCGTCCCGTCCCGTTCCCGTACCTCCCCTGCTCGTCCCTTCCGACCGCACGACATCCGTGCTCGTTCGTTCCGCTGCTGCACAAGATTCGTCGCCGCAATAACTCCCCTTCCGCCTGACTGCCTCCCCTCTCTCCCCCTCGTCAGACCGTCGTCACGGCGCACAATCCCGACGCCTTGACGCCCTCCGCGTCTCGTCAATAACTCCCCCCCTGGCTTATCATTGTTCCATCTAACGCCACTACTCTCCGCCTCCCCTTCCCTCTTTGTTCTCCCCCTCGTCAGACCGTCGTTGCAGCTCGCAATCCCCACGCCTTGACGCCATGCCCGTCGCCTCAACCCACTCGCCGTTCCAGCACCTCCTCCTCCTCCTCCTCGCACTCGCTTCACTCATCACATGCGTCGCATTCACTGCATTCGTCGCATGGGCCACATGGGTCGCATTCGTCGTCGTCGCGTGTCCCCCCGTCCGCGGCCATGTCAGCCCAGCGGCTGCAGCCGACTGGCCCGCTTCCTGCCAAGGCGCTCACCTTCGAATTCAACCACGTGTTCGCCTACGATTCGTCCAATTTCGAGGTGCGCTCTACCATCCTTCCACACGAGTCAGTATAATTGCTCATATTCGAATCTTATTTCGCTCTCCGTTCTTCTTTCGCCTTCAAGAGTGCTCCAGTTTCACTTTTTCCTTCGTCTTCTGAATATCCGCCTCTCATGGGCACCTGTCTGTCCGCCCAGTGTCGGCCACCTGACTTCGTCTGTCTTCTTCCCTCTCTCAAATTCCTCCTCTCACCTATCTCCTGGCAGGTGTACAATGAGTTCTGCAAGGGAGCGGTGGAGAGGGCTGTGGCGGGGTGCAGAGCGGTGGTGCTGGTGTACGGGCAGACGGGCACAGGGAAGACGCACACCATCAGCGGCAGCACTCTTGAAGCCGGCGTCTTTCACCACGCCATGGCTGATATATTCCGGGCGGCACGGGACAACATGTCTCGTCATGATGCCAGCTGTCAGCATGATGACGTCAGTGCATCTCGATGTGATGATGGGAGCAAGTCTCAGCATGAGACCTGCCATGTGGGAGCATCACAATGCTCCACGTCAGCCGTGCGGTGTCAGCCAGCAGCAGACACGTCAGCAGCGGTGGAAAACGCCACGTCATCATCCTCATCCTCGAGTGGCGGGTCACCAGCAGCAACACGATCTCCACCGTTGATGTGTTTCCTATCTGTGGTGGAGATTTACAACGAGAGGGCCATGGACTTGCTGCAGGGTGTGAAACCCAGCTCAGGGCAGACGAAAGCGAATGGGAACAGCTGCAGTAGCAGCTCTAAGAGCAGCACTGGCGGTGGTAGCACAACCAGCAGCAACAGCTGCAGCACAATCGACAGTAGCAGCAGCAGCAGTGGCGGCGGTTGTGGTAGCAGCGCTGCTGGCAGCAGTAGCATGGGAGTCGGCACCAGTGGCAGCAGTGCAATCTTGTACACAGCAGAGAGGAAGCCTATAACGGAGCATCAGCTGAACTCATTAGAGGAGGCAGCAGTGGCGTTTGAGCTAGCCGGTCAAAGGCGCAAGGTGCGCGGCACGAGCAGGAACAAGCAGAGTAGCCGATCGCACACGCTCTATGTCATCCGGATTCGGAGGCGGCTGCCTGGTGGCCCGGCTGTGGGCGAATTGAAGGGGAGGGTGAGAGATAGCGGAGAAAAAGAGCAGGTTTCAAGGGAGATGAACGGTTCGGATAAGGCCAAGGAGCCACGTGGAGAGACTTGCCATGTGGCAGCTGGAGGCGATGGTTGGGCTGATGTAGGGAGTGGGGTTGGTGGTGGTGATGATGCTGGTGGTGGCAAGGAGCACGAATTGCCGTTACTGTGTCACGGCTCGCCCACTGGAGCGTGCGCTGAAGCACAGCATGGTGACGGGCAGAGCACTCAAGGGCCACGGTGCTATACCGAGGAGCTGTATATTGAAGGGCACTATAGCGAGGGGTTGCTGTACCTGGTCGATTTAGCAGGCAGCGAGAGCTGCAAGGGAGAAGAGGGACCAGTAGCACGGGCAGCAGCAGCAGCAGGAGGAGGAGGGAGGGAGCAGCAGCTGGACGGGCCGTGGTGGGGGGGAGAGAGCCCCCTGGTTCCGCTTATCACTGGCCTTCCCAAGGGACCCCTCCTGCCGCCTCTGGCCCACCGCCAGAAGCAGTACCTGAAGAAACAGGGGCGGACGCATACCCGGCAGCAGCAGCAGCAGCAGCAGGTGGGGGGGCAGAGGCGGGTGGGGCAGAGGGAGGCGAGGAGGAGGGAGACGGAGAGCATCAACAAGAGCCTGCTGGCCCTCACATCCGTCCTCACACACCTCAGCCAGGCCCGGCCGGGCCTCCCGCCATACCGCCGGTCTCTGCTGACGCGGCTGCTGCAACCGTGCCTGGGAGGCAGGTCCGGTGGTAACAACGGTAACGGTGGTGGCAGCAGTGGTTACTGTGCAGTGCTGTTCTGCATTGACCCTCAAGACATCCACGTCAGCAAGACCACTCTCAGGTGAGGCAGCCTCGCTCTAACCACTAGCGCCGCCTGTTAACGCAAACATTCTTACCTGCTGAGGTGCATGCACCAGTTTCACCACGCATTCGACTAGTATGCATGGACTCTCGCCCTTCCAGACTGTGCCACTCACCCCCGCCCCGCCCCAATCCATTCACTATGGTCCATTCCTTCCCTTCCACTATTTCCATCTGTTCGTACGTTTGACGTACTCTGCCATGACTCGGCGAATCCGCGTGGACTATCGCCCTTCGATACTGTCACCTACCACTCCAAAACCATTCTCTATTGTCACTTCCTTCCCCTGTATCCATCGCGCCTCTGATTTCTCAGGTACTCTGCCATGACTCGGCGTATCCGCATGGACTATCGCCCTTCAATACTGTCACTGTCAGCACCTAAACACGCTCCTCCAACCGTCCACAAGCCAGCCGCACGCAGGCTAGCTCAAGGGGCGCCGCACTCTAGGGGTCTTTCATTGGGGCGCCAGGCGCCATCGACTTCAGCAAAGGGCGCAAAATTCGTGGCTGTGCTTCAGGAAAAGGGAAGGAAAAGGGGAGCAAGTCAGGGGAGCGAAGGAGAGAACGAGCAGAAGGGTGCGCTGGGTGATGCAACAAGGGCGAGTGGGGAGGTGAGGGCGTCAAAATCCGAGAAGGGTGCAGACGGGAACGAGACGAGAAGTGGGGTGGAGGGCGGGATGGAGGCGCAGGAGAAGATAAAAGTTGAAGACGAGGCGGGAGTAGTGGTTGAGGAGAAGGGGGAGGGAGTGGAGGAGAAGGGCAGAGAAGTTAGAAAAGATGGTGAGAAGGCGGAGGAACGGAGTCAAGTGGTTCAGCAAGAGCTCAAAGGCGTACCTCCCCCGCAGCAGCAGCAGCGGCACATGCAGGGCCAACTGCAGACCTCCCACCAACGCGGCATTCTGGTGAAGACACAGCAGCAGCACGTGCAGAGCCCATGGCGCAACATGCAGAGGCCAAGGCATGTGGACCGCAGAGAGCAGCAGGTGTGGGCGTTGCAGCAGCAGGTGCAGCAGCTGCTGCAGCACAACCAGCAGCTGCAGCGGCAGCGGCTGCAGCTGCTGCTGCTGTGGCGCAGGGGGGAAGTGGGCAGGAAAGGAGGACTGTGGATGGGTGATGGAGAGATTAATGAGGTGCGGGTTGAAGGGGTTCTTGAAGGCATGGGTGGTGTAAGTGGCATTGAGAAATGGGGATCGGCAACAACAGCAGCTGCTGCTGTAAGTAGGTTTGATACATGGGGGTCAGCAACAACAGCAGGTGCTGCTGAGGCGCCACTGGCAGCAGGCGTTGACATTTCGTCTGACTCGGGCAGTAGTTCCGATGGGGCCTCAGACGTGGTGAATGTCTCCACAGAGAATGTGACGCTATGGCGGGGAGAGGGGGAAGAGCGAGACAAGGAAGGACGTGTGGGGGAAGGAGGAAGGAGGAGGAGGAGGAAGGGGTGGAGCTGTGTTGGCAGCCAATGTTTTGATCCAGCTGCTGAGCCATATCGTACGCTGTCGTCTGTATCTAAGGCAGGTAAGGCGCTGCTGGGGCAAGTGACTCAAGCACGTGTGCTTCAAGACAGTGTGCTTCAAAGGAATGTGCTTCAGGATCGTGGAATGAAAGTGCAAGCTGCTGGGATGGTGTGTGAGCAAGAGGAATCTGGGGAAGCAGTGATCGAGTGGTACAATGGCTACGGTGACTACAGCGATAAGGAGAATGCTTCTAGCGAGTATGAACGGTCCAGGCTGATGTGTGGAGATAAGAAGGTGGGGCAGTGGCAAGATGATGCTGCTACTGATGATTCTGCGGCAAATGGCTCATCTACATTCGATACGGCTCACAGCGGTGACAGTGACAGTGGCTGTGCTTCTCCTGGTGCCAGCAGTCTTTCTCCCGACAGTGGCAGCGGCAACGTCTCTCCCAATAGCTCCTGCTCCGACCCTCTCTTGCCCGCTGCCCCCCTCGCCACACCCACACCCACATCCACATCCACAAGCACATCCAAGTTCTCATTCGCTTCCGCTTCCACCTCCACTTGTGCCTCCTCAACGTCAACAACAGGATCAGCAACCACCCCAGCATCCACTTTCTCCATACCCATCTCTCCCCGCATTATGCCTTCGCCGCCTGATTTAGAATTGCCATCACGGTCGCCATCGACCTTCCCTGGCATGCGCAAGACCAGGACCATTGCTGGACAGGGGAGTTTCAGGGGTGCATGGGACCGGGATTGCAGCAACCCACCTGCATTCAATGCTGATCCGCAGACCTTGCATGTGTGCACACCCCCAGTCATCCTCCCACATGTGCTCTCCCCGTATTTGCCGTTCATGATAACAAAACGCCGAGCTGCCTCTGGTTCTGCCCTTCCTGCTGCTGCTCCTGCCGCTCCTCCTGCTGCTCCTGCTGCTGCCACACCTGCCATGGGCGATTGTGCCGTTGCGGAGTTATGGTGTGACTCCATCGATCGTGACTGTGGCCGAGTGAACCCATGGAAGTGTGCTGCCTTTGTGTGCACAGCCATGCAGTGTGTTGCGCTGGATGTGCAGAGCAGAGGGGACGGCGAGGAGGGAGAAGAGGAGGAGGAGAAAGGGGCGTTAGATGAAGCGGAAATCCGTGTGAAGCAAGCAGAAGGAGTGAAGGGGTGGAAGGCGGAAATGGGCATGGAAGAGAATCAGGCCATGGAAGGAGGCAGGAGGAGAGCGAAGGTGAGGCCCATGCCTGTGGTTCTGCAGCGCTGGTTGGCAATGGCATGCATGTGCTTCAGCAGCCATGGTGACTTGAGTACGGCATGTTAGATTCGAGGCCACGGTGACTTGAATGCATGGTCAGTGTATTGAAGCCGAGCCGAGTGGTCAATATAATGGATGGTAGAACGCGCCTCTCTACGTGTTCCCCACAAAAAGGTGCCTTCGTGCATAGAAAACCTGAAAAATATACCATTTGTGCAAATGGAGACGGAACCAGTATTTTAACGCATAAAGTACCATTCAAAACTGTACTCGTCTTCTGAATATTGTCGTAACGGGAATGAGTCTCCTTGAGAGTTCCGCCTCGATAAGTGGTCTCATTCCAGCAAACCCAACGCAGGGAGCTCCTAGGTTGTAGATTCTCTTCAGTCGCATGGGATGCCTGTAAGCGTTGCATGCCATGCCACTTTCCTTCAATCGCCAATCGCCAGTCTTTCTTACTTTCGCGAAATGAAACAGTCACTTTCTTGTTGCCCTGCGAAGCGACGCATAGGTGGTCGACAAACTGCGAATCACGTACTCTGGGCACCCGATTAAAGTTTTGCTATGGGTCAGCCCATAGAGCCTAGCGGGCTCAGCTAGAGGAAACGCGTTCAAGACAAGCGGCTTCCCTTAGAATGGCCTCGGGATTATACGGATCCGGTTTCGATGGTAAAATCCTTTCAGCAATCCTGGGACAAGACTTCTCTGTATGGGCTGCAGAGAGACATGCCCCAATTCTACAGGCAGACTCTGTCTCCTCTTATGTAGACTTGCAAACCGTTTCTTCCTGCTTATCAACCTCCCCCACCCTTCCAATCAGGCTCCTTATGGTCAATCAATCACTTAGACTCCGAACTTTTGCACTCTGAAGCTCAGGGTGCTATCATGAGCGCGCGAGTTTATGACAAGGATGGCTTGGTTGACTTTGAAGCCTCCTTTCCTGAAGAAGACAAATCTTGGCTCTGCATTCCTCCTCCTGAGCTGCCTTTTCCAAAGAAGAGATTCTCTCTGCCAGAGTCTGAGGCGTGCTTGGAGCGTGAGTTTTGGCGGGACTACTCAGAGGAAGATCAGACCTGGCTGTCTATTCCACCAGAATCGTCACTCGCCTTTGATTCTCAAACGCAATGTCCTGAAAATGCTGCTCGCAGGAATCAGATCCGCGACTGCAGCAGCAGCAGTGGTAGTGTACTGTCTGCTGTAACTTGCACAGGAGAGAGCACTCCGACCGGAAGCAGTGCCAGCAGTGACAGGAGCGTCAGCATCTCAAAGGTTTTTTCAAACAAGGAGGTTATGGGGGAAGCACACGCTCAAGAGGTGACGCCAGGGGTAATGAAGCCATTGACGTCATCTATTCCAGCTGCTGAAGAGAAATTTCAGGGTCGGATTTCTGCGGCTTATGAAAAGCCTTCTCGTCCAGCTATCGCTGCAAGTTCAAGGGTGGCGGTTGGTGGTTTAAAGACGTCTATGAGGCCGGTGGCTGATGCTCAGAGTACTCTGCTGTCAACTGAGGCTGCCAGAAGGCCAGTGAAGGCAGCTCATGTGAAGGCAGTGAACCGATTCAATGCTGCTGAGAAGTCAAGGAAGCCTGTTACTAGGTCAGCACATTCAGAAGGTGCCATGAAGAAGAATGCAACAGCAGCAGCCGTGGGTTCTTCTGTGAAGCCAGTGAACCTACATGGTTCTTTCCTGGAGTCAACTAAGCCAGTTAATGCTGCTGCATTGGCTGTAGTTCAGAAGTCAGGTGAAGCTGTTACTCCCCCTGACAGGCGTATGAAGCATACTGCTCCTGCTGACAAGGCACCAGCTGTCAGCTGTGATGGATCCACGATCAAGATGGCACATCCTGACAGGCGTATGAAGCATACTGCTCCTGCTGACAAGGCACCAGCTGTCAGCTGTGATGGATCTGCGATGAAGATGGCACATGGAAGGATGAAGCATCAACAGAGTGTGCAAGCAGCATTCAGAGCCTCAGTTGACAGTGAAGCAGCAATGGTGACACCACCTGCAGGTGAAGCTCTGAGGCGTCTTGCAAGCAGTGTGTCTCGTATTCCTCAGCCTACCGGTACTACCGACTCAAGGAAGGCAGCGGTGATACCCATGTCTGTGCCAGTCAAGGCCCGTGCCACGTCAGCAGCACCACGTCTGGAAGGAGGTACTGGAGAGATCACACCACCAAGAGCGGTTATGAAGACACCTGCCTTGAAATTTGGTTTCGGGAAATCGACTAAAACAGCGTACAGTGAGTGGCGTTCTGCAGTGTCAAGGAAAGATGGACATGCGTAGAGATCCAAGACTTGGTTGCTTGGTGCAAATGCTGAGAGTGGAGTGGAGTCATGATGACTGGCGCTTGATAGAACCCTACTCTTTGAGTGCTACTGCTGTATGTGATGATGACCATTCATGAATGCGACCGTGTCTCAACCTACTGTAGTAAATCCCTGTATCGGTGCTGATGGTGAGTCGTTGTGCTACTGTGTCCCGTTAGCAATGTGTACAATGGAAAATTTCCATCTTCTGACATTTGGAGAATGCACCCATGCTACAAGAATTGTGCATGGATTGCATTACGAACTGCATAGGTAGCAATCTCATGATATAGATCAAACTGTGCTTCTTCTCTTGTTGCTGCTGAGCACACAACTTCGATAGGATCTCTGCCAGATCAGCACATGCCAGGTAACTGCCTCTGTACATGCTGCCACTTCAGCACAAGCTGCCAGCTCAGGTGATGCCAGCTCATATGTCTCCTAGCTCAGCACATGCTTGCCAGCTCAGCATGCTCCAACTCAGCATATCCCAGCCAGCTCAGCAATCCGGGAAAACTCATCAATGTCAATCTCCCCGTTGCCTGAGGAGGAGGACGAGGGGAAAAAAATGGAGGGAGGGGGCATGTGAGGGTGAGCCTATGCATGTGTGGTTGGGAGTGAGCATGTGTGGGTGAGTATGTGAATATGTGGGGGGTGTGTGTACTTGTCTGGGAGTGAGTGTACATGTGTGGTGTGAATGAATTGCGGGGTGCGTGAGTGTGAGATGTGAGGGTGAGTGTATGCACCCTGCTGAGGTTCGAAATATATATAAACCATACCATCCGTATCTGCACTGTAGAACATGCCCCTTATCTCGTCATCCGAAAAAACAATCCCCAGGTCCAACACCCCTCGCTTCAGCGTGCGCTGCGATATCTTCCCCTGCGCATTCATGGCACGTTCAGCACAACACGTTCATCACAACAGCACAACACCATTGAACACGACAGCATTCTCAACACAGACACAGCACAGGCACAGCACACACGTCGTTGCAAGAATAAGCACAGGAATATTACTGAGAAACCAATAAACAACACCGGTCAATAAGAGGATTCACCAATCAATTGTAGGGGAGAGGAAGTAAGGCCGTGAAATCCCGCGAACTTCCGTTCAAAATGTAATGAATGTAATCTCCCGCCTTTCAATTAAAAATGCCATGGATAGATAACTTTCTGTCATCCTCACCACTAGCACATTGTACCTGGAGAATAACCAAGAACCATGGTTCAGCTCCCGTGTTTCTTCAGTCACTGCTGTCAGCACAGAGAAAGAGTCTACGGACTTTCCCATCGCTTATCGGAGAACACAAGAGTTGGTAGCAAACTTACAGATATTCACGATTTGCACAGTAGCAGCTTACTGTTCTCTCGTCAGAGAGGAGCTAGTACATGGCAATTCTGTCTCCTCACCCATATGACCGCTCATCACCGCTACGTACTCCTCAAAGTCTATTATACAATGTGTATATATATACACATACGGTTTACAGAAAGATTGCAGTGTATCAAACTTACTGTTCTCTTATCGGAGAAGAGCTGGTACATGGCGATCATGTCTTGGTGCATGTTCTGCTCCCCCATGTAACCGGTCATCACCGCTACATACTCCTCAAAGTCTATGGCCCCGTCCCCATTGCGATCCATGGCTGCAAAGATCTCCTCAAACTCCTGGGGGGGGGGGGAGATGAGGGATGGGAGCAGGGGGGAAGCGGAGGGGGGAAAGGTTGATGCTTTCGCCCCGTCGCTGTTGCGATGCCATGGCTGCAAAGATGTCCTCACACTCCTGCAGGGGGGAAAGGAGTGAGCGTGAGAGGGGTGACGAGGGAGTGGAGGGGGAGGGAGGGAGAATGAGTCTACGGCACTGCCGTTGTTGCGATCCACAGCTGCAAACGTCTCTACAAACTCCCGAGGGCGGATAAGGAGTGTGGGTGAGACGGGGGACAAAGGGGAAGGGGGAACAAGGGGAGGCGAGGGGGCGGAGAGGGGGCGGGGGGGGACCAGGTTGAGCCTATCGGCCCGCCGTTGAGGCAGTGGGCGGCGGAAGAGAGGAAATCTTTGAGGCGTCTGGCGAATCGAGCCGTAGATGGAGATTGTGAGGACAGTGTGATTGTAATTTAGTGTGTATGTGGCGCGGACGATGAGGATGAGAAAACACTGCGAACAGATTAAAGTAACAAAAGGACTTGAACACCCAACTGTTTGGTGTGAAATAAGGAGGGATAACAAGGCGTACTCGCTCGCGCATAGCACATGCTGGGTATGGTACTTCAAATCAAGAGATTGATAAGACACTTCTGATTGCTACGGCATTTATGAGACAGATTGCACTGGTTGCGTGTTCCAGTATGGCTTACCTCCTGACTGACGTTGATGCCCAGCTGACTGCAGAGGGAGCAGAGGACGGGTTGAGAGTGCAGAGGGAGCAGGCGAAGGGTGAGAGAGTGCAAAGGGTAGAAGTAGTAAGAAGAGGGTTGAGGAGGTGGGTGGACCGGGAGGCATACGAACGAGTGAAACAAAAAAAGGGAAAATGCGTAAGATAGTTAAAATAGAGGGTGGGATTAAGAAGAGGAAGCACGAGGAGAAGCAAGAACGAGTGAGAGAAGAAGAAGAACGAAGTGATCAGAAAGGCCAGGAAGAATTATGGTGCTGTGTGGCAGGGTTAGGGTTTCATTGAGATTTAATGAACAGATCAGCATGTTCCAGTGAGATGGCATTTTAGTAGAATTATGAAGTAAATTCCAACTAGAAGAGATGGGGGTTCATGGTATGAGTTCTCCAACATCATTTAGAGTCTACTGCTATCATCACACAAGGGCGGATGTCATGGCACGGGATTCTTACCTCATGGCGAACTTCATCTCCATCTTGTCAATAGAGCCTGCATGAAGCACACAACGGAAGTGCCACATGAGGATAAGCATACAAGAGCTTGAGGGCAGAGTTAGACTGCATGTCACCTTGGTGGTACAGGGTGGGGTGGCGAGCTGACCTGTGGAACAGGTCGACCCAGCAGCCACCGCACGACCATTGACGCCCGGGCCTCGGAAATTGTCGCCAAGTGGCACTAGCGAGGTCGCGCGGCGCTCGCGAGATTTGTAAAAAAAATCGCCAGTCGCAAACAAAGGTCGTGGGGCATGCTAATTTGTTCGCATTGTTTTGCGGCTTTCGACTGTCAATATATGCGACACTTAAGGTGGCTGGTAGACACGAGTTTTACCGGTATGGGATGGCGGGAAATGCTGCCGCCAGCATCAAACTAGCGTGACACACGGGCAGTATCTGCTTCCACGTGTCAGGTAGGCTGTACCCTGTGATTGACACGCAGTCTAACTCTGCCCTGAGTCGACTCAAAATACACCGGCGCGCGCGCCCTGGCAAACACAGGAGAACGCCAAACTCACACGTTTGAGCAAATCCAACTGGATACTGCACCCTCCCATGACCGATACTACCTACCCTTCCACACAGCCCACAAACCCACACCCCTTCCATACCCCTCTCTCCACAAAGTATTTTGAATCCACTCCAGGCTTCCACGCTGCCACCTCAGCTACAGGACAAGTCACAAAAGCACGCCCCTTTCACGCCCCTTTCACGCCCCTTTGCCCTTCCCCTTTGCCCTTCCCTTTGCCCTTCCCCCTTGTCCTTCCCCCTTCGCCCTTTACCCCTTGCCGTTTCTCCCTTGTCCTTTCCCCCTCGTCCTTTCCTTTCCCCCTTGTCCTTTCCCCCTTGTCCTTCCCCCCTTGCCCTTTGCCCTTTGCCCTTTGCCCTTTCCCCTTGCCCTTTCCCCCTTTGCCTTCTCCCTTTGCCCTTTCCCCCTTGCCCTTTGCCCTTTCCCCCTTTCCCCTTGCCCTTTCCCCCTTTGCCTTCTCCCTTTGCCCTTTCCCCCTTGCCCTTTGCCCTTTCCCCTTGTCCTTTCCCCCTTTGCCTTCCCCCTTTGCCCTTTCCCACTTGCCCTTTCCCCTTCCCCCTTTAACCTTTCCCCTTCCCCCTTTGCCCTTTCCCCCTGCCCTTTCCTCCTTGCCTTTCCCCCTTGTCCTTTGCCCTTTCTCTTGCCCTTTCCGCCTTGCCCTTCTCTCATTACCCTCCCCCCTTGACCTCCCCAATTGCCATCCTTCCTTGCCACCCCCCCTAGCCAAAATCTTAAACATTGCACAGAAAACAGAAACATTTGTCCTCGTTTCAAGCCTGGATATAATGAAGCACCACTCACCCGACCCGTCCTTATCGAACACCGTGAACACGTCCTCAATCTTCGCAATCTGCTGCGGAGTCAGTCCCCGCGTCGCGCCAGCAGGCGGAGCCCCCGCAGCCGCCGCCGCCGCCGCGGCCGCCGCCCCTGGCGCGGGCGGCGGAAGCATTCTGGTGCGCGCGGCGTACATCCTGCTAGGGTTAGCGGCGGCCAAGGAACCCCCTGCGAAGCTTCCTCCCACGAAGCTACCCGCCGCAAAGCTTCCCACGCCGCCCCCTCCCGGCTGGAACTGCCGCGTCACGCCGGCGCCGCCCGGCGGAAAGACCCGCGACGCGCCTGCGGCGCCTCCGCCGACGCCGATTACTCGGCTCTGCGCACCGGCGGCGTGCGCATGCGCTTGCGCGTGGCGGGAGCTGGCCTGCGCGAGGATGGACGTGAACTGGCGGGAGAACTGCTGCGCCGCTGCGCGGGAGCTAGCGCCGACCGGCGGCGGAAGCGCAGCGCCAGGTCCGCGCGTCGCGGATCTTGAAGGTCCCGCCGCATGTGACGGCGGCGGTGGCTGGCTGGATTTGTCGGGATTTTGAGTTGGCTCAAAAGTCACCGCGTGTGACGGCGGCGGCGGTGGCTGGTTGGATCTGTTTGTCTCCCAGCCGCTGTTTCCGCCTGGCGTGGCCATGACAAGTGGTGCTTGTGGGGACCTTGCGCGCGTGTGGCGTGCGCGTGGCGTGCGTGTGGCTTGCGCGTGGCGTGCGTGTGGCGTACGTGTGGGTTCCTTGTGTGCGTTTACGTGCCCTTCGAACTGCGGGGGTACTCAAAATGCTAACAGCTACTTCAAGGGTACCTAACGCCGTCTCAGAATGTAATGGCTACTCAAACGATATGAACGCGCGTAGATGTCGATGGGTAAGTGCGTCCGCGTACGAGCACGTGTCTCTGTATACGAGCGACCTAATCGCTGCGTGGGTAGAAAGCAAATTGCGTGGGTGAAAGCTGTGTCGCAGAGCCACAATGCCGGAAATGACTTTTGAGATGACCCAAAAGTCACTGCGCGGATAGAAGAACAAATAGTGTCGCAGGACCACGAGGCCCGAAATTGTGACTGTAAAGAGGGCCGCGTGCACTGAGAGCGTACGGAGGCAAGTCAGAGGGTGCGACGAGAGGACGGGATGAGATAACGAGGGGTTTCTGCCAACCAGCTAAGTCGGTCGCGTAGTCTACTACCGCAGGAGGCCGCGTGAGGCGGGCTACGAAATTTACGGCTGAGAGCTCGGACAGGCTTTACCTGAAGGCAGCAAAGTGGAAATATGTACGAGCTACCTAGTAATCTGTTTTCAAGGTGCTGCTCCCCTCCCACTGAGATGATTGTGAAATTCAGGAGTCAAGAATTGGGGAGCAATCTCAATAAAGCTTGGGGAGCTGAGCTGAGCACGGCAATATCGAGGGGCGGAGGAAGGAGGCTTCGCCCTTGCCGTGTAGGGCGGGGCTTTTTGGCGGGAAACTCTGCGCGAGTTGCGGAGGAACGCGTCACAAATGGTTGCAGTCATCCTCGATACAACCATAACACCACATGTAAACCAGAAAACGAACTTGACCCACCTTCCCGATATGGCAGGACAGAGGCATAAATTTTAGGTTCAACCTCGCCAACCTTTTCACTTCCAGTCCCACCAAGGAAAACAAAAACTGCTTCCTAGAAGGCATCGTTCGTTCCCACTCAACCATATAAGGAACAACTCATGAAGTGGCAGGAAGGAAACCAATAATCAGCCACCAGCCAGCCATACTTCCAACACACGGACTGAAGAATTATAATGCAAGCCAATATCCTTCTTCAAAGGTGAAAGAGCAACACGTTATTCCGTTGTTAATCAGACAGGCATACATGGGTCTGCTGCTGCGAGGGTGGGAGGGAGGGTATGCTGGGAGAGGGGGGGAGAGAAGACAAAAGGCGAGAGGAACGGGAATGAAGGGAGAGAGGGAAAGGTGGAGCATGATGTGGAGGAGAGGGGGCAGGGAGGGATTCGGACAGTGGTGAAAGGGAGAGGAGGTGGGAAGGGACCATCCATCCATGACATGCTGGAAATTGCAAGAAATGGCAACGTGGAGTGAGTCGGAAAGCGGGGGGAGGGAGAGAAGAAGGTGAGCGAATGAAAGGGCGATATGGATGTGGCAGGGGTGAGCAGCAGAAGGTGCCGGTGAGAGCCAAGAAACGCAGGTTGAGCCTCCAAGCGGTCAGATAGCATATACCCAACATCACACTCCAGTTTTGGGGCGCCTCAAAGCTAGACTCCATCTTGCCAACCTTCCTCAAATCCTTCACTGTCCTCTCCGATCCACCTCAGCCACTCAAATCCCTCCAGTACGCAGCCACCCCACCGGACAACACACCATTGATGCTTTCACGTCACTTGTTCGCCTTTCCCACCTTTGTGAGACGAGCAAACCTCTACGCTTCCACGCCTACCTTTCAACCTTTCTTCTCCCATCACTTCTTGACCTTTCCCCACCCTCACAGGACCCCCAGCCTCAGTACCCCCAGCCTCAGTACCCCCACCCTCACACTGCCCCTACCCGCACAGTGCCCCTACCCGCGCAGGCAGTTCCCCCAGCCCTGTAAGCAGGCTCGCGATCTACCTGTGATTCCTCCTCCCTCGTCACTTCTTCGCCTTTCCCGCCTTTTTCGACACCCGTGCCTTCAGCATCTCCTGGACTGTCGACGTGGACTCCGCCGGCCGCGGCTCGAGCCACGTCAGCGGGTGCCGGCGGAAAACGGGCCAATCGGGAACCACCACGAGGCACGCTAGCAGCGTGGCGCCTAAGTGGATGTACATCATGAGGGCGAAGGAGGAGTAGAGGAATCCGGCTCCGAACGCCACGGCACCGCCGGCGAGCAGAATGATCTGCATCAGGTACTCGGCGAGTCGCTGACCCTCCCAATCCATGGCGCCTGCGACGGTGTGCGACCGCGAGGGTCTGGCGGCTGCGATAGGTATGCGACTGCGATGGTGTGCGACTGCGATGGTATGCGGCTGCGACGGTATGCGATTGCGATGGTATGCGACTGCGTTGGTATTCGATGGCGATTCTATGCGACTGCGGCGATATGCTGACTGCGATGGTATGGCGATAGCAGGACCCCTAGGAATTCTGGCGAGCGACACCTGAATCAAGTTTGGGCGGCTGCGGCGATATCCTGTCAGATTCGCCTGGACCAGGCCCAATTTGAAAGGACGTTGACGGAAAAGAGTGGAATATAAATCCTCGTCGGGTCGTTTCCCTAATTACCGCTGGCTGGTGGTTAGGCGAATCCCCTGACAGTCACACCAGGTACAACGAAAAAAACTTTACAATTTATATAACTTTGTATTATGGTAGAGAAGGGTAACTAGCAAGTTAAAAGAGAGCACAGCCTAGCATGTACACCCTCGCATTAAATTAGACTATTATCGTGTTTTTTTTTTGTGAAGCAACATATCTGCTCCGCCTCGCCTTGTAGTGGAAGGGTCCGTCCCATGTCAGTTCTTATGGCCATCGTCAGCATCTGGATTAGAGGCTCCTATGGTGAACTTTTGCAGGAGCTGTGAGATCTCATCCAAGTGAGCCCCTTCCAAGGAGCCCTGCACATGCAAACAGGGAAGCAAACGTTGGCAGGTGGGGATTGGAGAGGGGGAAGGGAGGGCAGGGAGAGAAAGCACGTGAAGAACCGAAGGTAGTTCCAAGCCTCAGCATCAGCAAAAAAAAAAAAAAAAAAAAAAAAAACCATGCCGCAGCAGAAGATACACAGCCTTACCAAGAGATGTGAAAGCAAGGGAGCTACTTACACAGCTGGACATTGTTTCGCTTTGTCCCTCACCCGAACCAAACAGGCGCACGGGCCGCAGGTGCCGCCTCCGCGATCCCGAGGCTGACGCACCGGTTCGGGAGAGAGGGGAGGAGGAGGAACGGAGGATGGGGGAGGAGGATGCGGACGTAGAGTGCTTGGCTTGTGGGGCAGACAAGGGGCCGACAAGAGGGACGGATGAGGAAGGAACCCCGGACTGGCTTCTGCTGAGGGTGGTGCTGCCGTTGTGATGCGATGGCGGCGTGGGTTGCTGTACCCGCGGTGGCGTTGCAATGAGGCTGCTACTGTCACTCACAGTGACAATTTCTTCCTTGCACTGAGTCAATGGGGCTCCGGAGCCACATTCCTGGGATGAGGCTGAGGCTGAGGCTGAAGCTGAGGCTGAGGCTGAGGCCCCTGCACTCCACTTCTTCATCTCCTCCAGCGCTGCAAATATGCTCCTCTCCACCTGCTTCCGCGCACCTTCCTCATCCTCATCCTCATCCTCGTCATCGTCATCATGACTAGCGTCGTCACTACTGATACTGCCGTCATCACTGCTACAACCATCACCATCATCATGAGCATCACCACTACTAGCATCCTTGTCACCACTACTGGCACCGTCATCACCCCCACCACCGCTATTCAAGCCACCGCTATCACCGGCATTACCATCCAGGATGCCAGCACTCCAGCCACCATTGCCACCATTCCATGCCACATGACTCCTCGGCCTGCTCTCCCCTTCATCATCGTCGTCCTCCCCACCTGCCCCTCCGCGGTCAGCCATACCCATGAGCTCCTCAAGCATACTGTCCACGTCATCCCCCTCCCCCCCCTCTTCCCCCTCCTCCTCCTCTGCCCCCTCCGCCTCCTCATCTGCTTCCTCCTCCCACTCTTCCCCTTCTTCCCCTTCTTCCTTCCTTCCCCTTCCCTCCACCTCCTCCCCAGCTAACGGTGCTGCTACAAATGCTGCTACAGCCATGGCTGCAGCTTGTTCTGCAGTCGCCTCAATAGCCGCAGTCACCACCGCACTCAGGCACGCTTGCTCCAGCTGGCTTTCACTCAAACGGGTTGCTGCTTTCAGCTGCCCCTTCTGCTCAAAAGTAGAGCCAACGCTGTCAGCACCAGCATTACCGGAATATTTGTGGCTTAGAAACAACCCATCTCCCTCTGCCTCCTCCTCGCTCCCCCTCACTCGTCTTCTCTGGCTCTCCCTCTCCCTCATCCTCATCCTCACCCTTTCCCTTATGCACATCCTCTCCCTGACCCTCTCCCTCTTCTTCTCCCGTTCCCTCTCCCTCTCCCTTTGCCTCACCCTCACTCGCTCCCTCACTCTCTCCCTCTCACTCTCCCTCACATTCTCTCTCCCCCTCTCTCTCTCAATCGCCACCCTCAAAGCCTCCTCTACTGCCGCTTCAAGCACCACCGCACCCACTTCAACCATCCCCCGCACTCTCTCCTCCTCCCTCTCCCCCCTCCTCTCCATCTCCTCCCCCAGCTCCCGGCACCTCTCTCTCTCCTCCACTACTCTCCTCGCGGCAGCAGCAGCAGCCGCATGAGCAGCACGAGCAGCCTCCCTTGCTGCTGCCACCTCCATCGCCCTACCCGTCTCTGTCCTCTCCACGTCCCCTCCACTCGCCACCGCCCCCCCTTCCCCTCTCTCTTCCTCCTCCCTCCTTCTCACCTCCTGCTCTCTCTGCTCTACCTCCTCCTCTCTTGCACGCAACTCCTCGCCTCGCTTAGCTAAGAGAAACACTTGCTCGTCCCTCCGCCTGAGCGCCTCCTCTAAGAGCCCCACATCCTCCTCCAACTTCTCCTCTCCCTCCCTCACCCTCTCCTCCCTCTCCCTCAACCCCTCCTCCTGCCTAAACATCTCTCCCACCCTCACTCTTCCCTCCTCGTCCACCGCAGCACTCCTGGACTCAACAGCAGCCTCTGCTTTGGTAACAGCAGCCCATGCCACAGCCAGCTTCTCCCGAGCCTTCTTCTCTGCTTCGGCCCAAACCTCATCCCGAACCAGTTCCTCAGTGTTGTGCATCCGAGCCTCGGCCTCAGTCACTGCCTGCCTAACCGCCGCCTCCACTACCCCTTCCAAAGCAATCGCTGCTATTTCCATCATGTACCTCTCCTTCTCAGATGCTTCTGCCTCTGTCACAGCCTCTGCCCTTGTTACCGCCCTTGTTACCGCCCTTGTTACCACCTCACCCACTGCCGACTCCATGGCAATCGCTGCTATTTCCATCATGTACCTCTCTTTGACAGAAGCTTCCTCAATCGTGACTTCCAGCTCACGCACCCACCTCTTGAGCTCCTCACTCTCCCTCACACTCCTCTCCTCTCCTCCGCCCCCGTCCTCTCCCCTCTCCTGCTTCGTCTGTTTCAGCACCTTCTCTCCCTCCCCACCCTTCTCCCCGCCCCCAGCAGCCACCGTTTCCACCACAGCAGCGGCCAGCTGCTCAAACTGCTGCAACACGAGCGTTGCCTGCTCTGTCTCCTCTCCTCCCCGCCCCTCCCCATGTCTCTCCCCCTTCATCTCTCCCACTATCTGTACCTCCGCATACCTCTTCCTGCTCCCAGCAGCCACCGTTTCCACCACAGCAGCAGCCAGCTGCTCAAACTGCTGCAACACGAGCCTGGCATCCTCCGCTTGCCTTTCTGCCGCCTCCCTCTCTCGTTCCACAACCACCCTCTCTCTCTCACCATTCTCCCTCGCCCTCTCCTTCTCTGCCTTCTCCCTCTCGGCCTTCTTCCTCTCTCTCCTCACCTCCTCTCGCAACTCCCTCCACCTCTCCTCACCGCTCTCCACCTCCTCTTCAAGCTCCACACACCTCCTCCTCTCCCTCTCCACCTCCCCTTCCAGCTCCCTGCACCTCCTCCCCTCCCTCTCCACCTCTCCCCCCATCCCCTCACACCGCCTCCTCTCCTCCCCAAGCATACTTTCCGCTCCTCTCAGCGCCTCCCTCACTGCTGCTGCTTCTGCCTCTGCTGCAGCTGCAGCTACGGCTTTCGCCTGCAGCGCCTCCCTCTCTTGCTCTGCTGCTGCAAGTTTGCACTGCCACTCCCTCTCCCTCTCGCTCTCCCTCTCCCTCGCCTCCCCAAGCATCCGCTCAGCTAATCTAAGCGCCTCCCTCCCTGCTGCTGCTTCTTCCTCAGCTGCTGCTGCTACCGCCTCTGCTGCTGCCGCCGCTGCCTCTGCTGCTGCTACTGCTTTACCTTGCAACGCGTCCCTCCCTTGCTCTGCTGCTGCAAGTTTCTGCTGCCATTCCCTCTCCCTCTCCTCCCCCTCCCTCACCTGCTGCTCTAGGGCCTGCAGACTGGCCACAGCTGCAGCTGCAACGTCAGAAACAGCCACGTGTAGGTTACTGTTTGGACCATCGTTTAAGGCACTGTTAATGGTACTGTTCATGGCACTGTTCATGCCATCGTGGGTTGCCCCATTGCCCCCTCCACTGTTCATCAGGACCATGTCCTCAGCTCTAGCAACTCGCTCCTCCAGCTCCCGTACCTTCCTCGCAGCTTCCTCCAACTCCTCCCTTGCAACCTGCATCCCCTCTGCCCTCCCCTCCTCTCTCCCTTCCCTCCTCCCTTCCTCAATCCCTCCCAATCGCCCCTCCTCTCTTCCCTCCCTCCTCGCCTCCTCTCTACCCTCCTCTCTCCCTTCTCTCCTCCCCTCAATCCTCCCATCCAATCTCACATCCTCCATCCCCTCCCTCCTCGCCTCCTCTCTCCCCTCCTTCCTCCCCTCCTTCCTCCCCTCCTCCCTCCCTTTAGCATAAGCCTCGTCAGCTGCAGTCTTCGCAGTGGCCTTGACCTGCTCTATCTCCTCCCGAGCTGATTCCATCACTGCAGCCACAGCCTCTGCTATCATCCCCGCCCCATCACTCCCACCGTCACTCCCACCATCAAAATCACCAGCCCTTTCTTCCTCCTCCTCCTCCTCTTTCCCCTCTCTCTTCCCTTCTCTGTCCTCCTCCTTCCTACCCTCCACCTCTTCCCCCACCACAAATCGAACCCCTCTTCGCCTTCCTCCCCTACCACTCCCCTCGTTACTGTCACTGCCTCTACTGGAGCCACTATCGTACCCAGAGCTGCCCACAGCATTAGACCCCACATCCTCCCCAGCCCCTGCTCTCACTCCATTCCTCTCAAACCCTCCCCCATGCCCATCCCCATGCCCATGCCCTTGCCTCAACATTTGCCGACGAATATGCCTCTGCCCACGCCCATGCCTAAGTCCTTGCTCCTCTATTCCCCCCTTACTGTCCTTCGCACTCCCTTCTCGCCCTTCCACCCCCCCTTCCACCTCCCTTGCACCCCCACGGGAAGCTTCCGCTTCACCTTCCTGCTGAACAGCTCCCGCCTTTTCAGATGCCAGCTCAGCAGCGAGCCTTTCCAGCTCAGCCTTCAGCTGGCCCGCCTGTTTCTCGGCTTCGTGCCTCGCTGCCCTCTCCGCTGCAAGCAAAGCCTCCATGCTATTTAATCCCCCAGCCGCAAGAGAAGAAGCAGACGCATCCCCTCCCTCCGCCCCTCCCACTCCCCCATCCACCCTCTTCCCCATGCGTTCCTTCTCCTGCTCCAACCGTTTCATCTGCGCCTGCATGTCCAGTATCATCTCATCCCGGCGTTTCAACTGCGCTCTCAGCCGCTGAAACTCCTCCCTTCGAAACAGAGGCGTGGCCCGGCTGCTGCTGCTGCTGTTGCTGGTAATACCAGCCGGCGGCGTGGGTCTGCTGCTGCTGCCAGTGAAAGCAGGAGAGTGAGCTGCAGGAGAGGCGGAGAAGAGAGGAGTGGGGGAGGAAGAGAAGAGGCAGGGAGAGGAGACGAACAGGGGGGTGACAGCACTGTTGGAAGCAGCAGAATGGAACGCACTCCCCGTCCCAGCAGCAGCAGCAGCAGCAGCAGCAGGAGCCATTGCTGAATGGAGTGCATTTCCTCTCCCAAACTGAAACACTGTTGGCTGATGACCTGAGAGGTCCGATTGCGACCCTGCATCTGCAGTTGCTGTTCTTGCTGCCTTGCCGCCAAACTGCCACTGTGCCGCGTTCGCTGCTGCTGCCGCTGCTCCTGTTGCTGTTCGCGTTGCTGCTCCTGCTTGCCTGCCTCCCAAGACTCCCGGTTCTGCTGGCGTGGCAGCACCGCCAGTAGCGGCAGTTGCATCAGCAGCAGCAGCAGTAGCAGCAGCAGCAGTACCACGAGCAGCGGCAGCACTGCTATCCGCTGCTGAAGCTGACACGGACTCCAGTGCGAGTTCCTTGAGAGGAGTGCCGCCTCCAACACTCCCACCATCTCCTCCTCCTCCTCCCCCTGCTGCTGCTGCTGCTCCTCCCCCCTGGGCCTCCAGTACAGCGCCTGCTGGCAGCAGCGCTGAGGACGATGACGAGAGCGACAGCCCAGAGAGCGCAGGCACGCCATCCCCCTTCAACGCATTACTCAACGTCGCGTTATCCACCGTAGCAACGGTATCGAATGCGTTGTTCCCTGCTGTGGCATCGTCGGTACGAACAGCAGATGGGCCAGTAAGCAGAACGGCAGGAGCAGGTGCAGGAGCAGGTGAGGGCGAAGGGAGCGCAGCCTGTGGGTGTGTATTGACGGACTCCGACCCAGGATTCAAACAAGGAGACGCATGCAGCATGGGCGACGATGAAGCTGCGGCAGGTGAGGCAAACAGGGGAGCACCTGTGAAGGGGGAGGGAGCGCCAATGAAGGAGGAGGGAGCGCCAGTGAAGGGGGAGGAAGCGCCAGTGAAAGGGGAGGGAGCGCCAGTGAAAAGGGAGGGAGCGCCAGTGAAAGGGGAGGGAGCACCAGTGAAAGGGGAGGGAGCGGCAGTTAAAGGGGAGGGAGCGCCAGTGAAAGGGGAGGGAGCGGCAGTTAAAGGGGAGGGAGCGGCAGTGAAAGGGGAGGGAGAGGGTGCAAACGGCAGAGTGGCTGAGCTGCCTTGTGTAGACCCAGCAGTGGCAGGGGCGTTGGCCGCAGAAGCTGGAGAAGCTGCAGCGGCACTGGTGACAGCAGCGCCGCTGGCGGCCGCAGCACTGGCAACAGAGACTGCAGCAGTGTGCCTGTGAGCAGCAGTACGCAATCGGGTGTGCCTCTTCCAAACAGGGGTCCCTGCAGGGAAAACAGTGGCAGCAGCAGCAGAGAAGAGAAGAGAAGATTCAGCAACAGAGCCAACAAGCATGTCCCCCCCACAGAAACCTGTAGTAATCTCCAACGCAGCTTTCTCACCTTCACCTGCCCCCTTCAATGGCCCTGACTGTCCCATCTCTATCCGCTGCTGCTCTCCCCCGTCCACCGCATCGCTCTCTCCGCCGCCCCTACTCCCGTCCCTTTCCCCTTCTCTCGCTCCATTTGCAGCCAACACGCCAGCCCTCCTGGCAATGGTGACCCCTCACTTTCTGCGCCTCCTCCCTCCCCTTTCCCCCCTCCCCCTCCCCGCCCCCGTCCCCCTCCGCCTGCTGCAGCGCTGGTGGCTGCTGCGCGCCCAGGCCCTCTGCTGAGCGCGTGGGAGGGGGAGAGGGGGTGGGGGAGAAGATGGTCCGCGTACAGGCCTGGGGGTAAAGGGGGGGGGAGAGGGTGATGAGGAGATTACATCAAACAAACGTAGGGAAGCACATACTTCTTATATTCATGCATACGAGGGGGTGGGGCGTAAGGTGGTTTGCCAACATGCCTTGGGGAATTGGGGAGCGGAAAAAGGGGGAGGAGGGAGAGGGGAGAAAGCGAGAGGGGAAGGACGAGGAGAAGCTAGCAGAGCTCTCTCGAGTGCATTGGATGGGGGTTAGGCCGGGGTTGTTGGTGGGCCACTTAGTAACATGGCGGCCCATGCACCCACCATATTCGGCTGCACCACCCAAGAAAGGCCTCCCACAAGCAGCACCAGCACCAGCACCAGCAGCACCAGCAGCACCAGCAGCACCAGCAGCACTAGCAGCACCACTTCCACCAGCAGCACCAAATCCGAATCCATTTCCGCTACTGCCACCATCATTATTGCCACTGGGTCTTTCTGTCCTTGCTGACGTCACCTCCTCCCCAGCCTCTTCCTTCCCCTCCCTCCTTCCAAACCTCCTCCCCCTGACCTCCGCCTTCCCCTTCCCCTTCCCCTCACCCCCTTCCCCCCTACTTCCCCCATCGCCTCTCTCTCCGCGTCCCCCTTCTCCCCCTATCCGCGGCCCCACACCCGAATTCGCCCCTGACAGCTGCTTCTGTGGGGAGGTGGCAGTAGCGGGAGTTCCTCTAACGAGCGTTCCAACAGGCGTTCCCCTACCAGGCGTCCCTCTAACGCGGCAATCGCCAGTGAACGAACGCGCGCTGTGATTGCAGGAGGAGGGGGCGCCGTGCTTATAACAGGGTGAGCCGCCAGGGCAGGAGGCGAGGGAACGGGCGGAGGAGGCGGAGGAGTGGGGGGCGGAAGCAATTGGAGACCTATGGGAGCGCCTTGGCGGAGAGGCAGGGGGGAAGGCGGAAGGGGGGAAGGCGGAGTGCGGTGCATGCGGGGAGAATGGGGGCCCATGGGGGGAGAATAGGGGAGCGGAGCATGCGCCAAGCGGGGGACCTGAGGAGCCGACAACAGACTCCGCCCGGACGTGCCGCTGCCTGCCACGCTGGCGCTTGTGGTGCACCACCGCTGCTGCCGCAACAGCGCCCCCCGCTATAAGCATCCACGGGAGAGCATCCCTGGGGAGCTGAAAGGGGAAGGGAGGCGGTGAGGGATGAAGGGATGTGGGCGAAAAGGAGAAGGGTTCGGCAGTTGTGAGGATTCGATAGCCATGCCGTCCATGGCATGAGTGAGGAGAGGGAGCTAGGCTGGAAAGCTATACCAAGTAGCAATTGGGCAAGAGCATGCGAGTAGTTTTCTAGTCTTTCTTCCGTCGTCCATCTTTCCTCCTCCTACGTGATGCCAGTTGTGAGACGTCTCAAAGCACGATTCTTATCACACGTGATGCTCGGCCGCATAGGCAAGGCAAGAGCAATCTACCCATCACCCCCAAACTAGCAGCTTTCCCCCTCGCCTTCCCCCCTGCCTTCCCCCCAGCCTTACCCTAGGAGGCGACGGCTCGCGGGGGCGAATGCGACTGAAGTCGTAATACACCTGCTCCGTCTGCTGCTGCTGCCCGTGCTGCTGCTGCTGCTGCTGCTGCTGCTGCCGCCCGTGTTGCAGCTCCTGCCCTCTCCCTCCCCCTCCTTCCCCCGCCTCCTCCGTCCCCCTGTCCGCGTGCGCCTCCCGGGTCCGCTCCCTCTCCGCCTCTCGCATTCGCCGCAGCAGCAGCAGCTGCTCCCGCGCGGCCTCCTCCTCCCGCCGCTGCAGCTCTCGCAGCATCTCGCTGCGGTTCATGCTCCTGCCTGACATTCCAAGCGATCACTGTTCGACTGTTGAGGTGATCGCAGTTTGACTGTTGAGGTGATCGCTGCTTGACCTATGACCTGCTCGCTGCTTGCGTTTCTGAGCTGGTCGGACGGGTCAGGCTTACAGCTCCTCCCGCCGCTGCAGCTCCCGCAGCAGCTCGCTGCGGTTCATTCTCGGCTCGAGCCACTTGGATGAATATGTGACTTTGCCACTTTCGGGATTCGAGCTGATTCTAAGGGCCCCGGGGAAATAGATTAGACAGGAACTTGCTAACTTCCCAAATGTCCTCGCGTTCCTAAACTGAGGATAACGTTCGCGCGGTGACAGCAGATTGTAAGAATAAAATCCTAGGATGAGCCACTAAGGCAATGTAGAGGTCAGCTAATCACAAGCAACCAAGGTCAGAAGGTTTGTGCTTGGTCTGTTTAGGGGCTAGAAGGCAACGGTAGCTGGAGACATCCCCAAAAATTAGATGTTTCCGTTCCGTTACCGTCTGCTCCATTCAGTTTCCGTTGCCCTTGGGCCTGGTTTCAGGTTTGATGTCATTCCCAAGGAGCCGAACCGCCCTTCTTGAAAACGTCTTTGGCGCGAAAACTTGGATTTGCTGTATCAAATTTGGATGGAACATTCACGAAAACCATATTGACACTTGTGAATGTACACAATCTGTGATTTATTCAGGTTGGAGGGAAACAATGAAATCATGTGCAAGGAATTTTCTATTCCTTACCGAGCGGTATTGCAATCGCGTACGCTCGAACACAGCCGAAGCTTCGGGACAGTTCCGGACCTTTCTGACAAAACCGCCTCAGCTTCTCCAGGCCTTCTAGTTCGACCTTCAGGAGTTCTCCGGGCCTCGCTTCGTCACTTCGAGACCAGGGCTCAAAATTGGTTTAGGGGCACCCTTAGTAATTAGTGTACCTAAAAAACAAATTACCCTGTCTCTTAGGGTAACATTTTTGTCACCCTTTGAAAATCAGGGTAAATTTGTAGAAAACTATAAGTGCCCTGAATGTACAGGGTATTAAAATTATCACCCTGTCTACTGCACAGTAACTTGTAATTTTCCAGCTTTCTTAGCGTGTGTGAGAGACATTGTCGGTCCTTCTCTAAAATCACGCAGGAAGTCCGCGGCGAGCTGGTCTCAACGAAAAACTGAATGATTAGATAGAGGGAGAGAACAAGTGTATATACCTAAGAGTGTTGTACCCTTTAAGAGGTGACCCTATACAGTTTATACAAATATGAGTTATACATATATTTGACACACCCCCTAGACTGCATAGGGGCAAATCCTGAACAAGCAGCTCAGGGCGGCACTACTAGTCCAGCCACTGAGACAAGGGTCTAAAGACCAGTCAAAAGGTCCTAAGGCAAGACAAGAACAAGACCAGGGCGGCACTACTAGTCCGGCCACTGGGAAAGGACACAAGTCCAGTCTGAGTACATATAGATAGATGTATATATGACAGTACAAAGTCAAGGTCCTAGCAAGTGAGAGGCTACAGGAACTAGACCGAGCTGTACACAGTGCCGCTGATGATCTTTAGGCGCAAGCGCCTTCGTAAAGATATCAGCTGTGTTGGCACCAGAGGCCAAGTGAACTACGCGGGCCTGGCGACGCTGCTGTAGCTCGCGCAGGAGGAAGTACCGCAGCTGAATGTGCTTCGCTCTGCCCTCAATTCGAGGCTCTTGACACAGGAGTATCATGGCCCTGTTGTCAGCATACAGGACCGGGGCAGAACTAGGCCGCTCACCTAAGTCTGTGAGCAAGAAAGTCAGCCAGCGGAGCTCCTGTGCCGCCATGGCACCAGCGTAGATCTCAGCCTCACAGCTCGACTGAGCAACAGACGACGAGCGAGTGGATCTCCAAGAGATAGCACCCGAACCAAGGCTGAAGCAGTAGCCCTGTGACGACCTGAGCGTCTCAGAGTCGTCTGCCCAAGAAGCGTCTGTGTGCCCAGTGAGGACCACTGGCTTGCGTCCTCCCAACACTAACCCCATGCTTGATGTACTTGCTAGATATCGCAAAACCCTCTTGGCTGCCGACCAGTGCTGTGGTCGGTGTCTGCCAGTGGCCACAAAGCGAGCCAGGATGCTGAGAGGGTATGCGAGATCTGGGCAAGTGCAGGTCATCAGGTACATGAGGCAACCCACCAGCTCTGCGTAGGGGCCGCTAAGCTCTACTGACTCCTCAGGAACAGGAGCGGAAAGCCCGTGGTCTACAGGTAGAGGTGTGGGCTGTGCAGAGGAGAACTGAAGACCGAACCTCTGAAGGACATGACGCACCAAGTGTGACTGGGTCAGAGTGATGGTGCGTGCTGCTTTGTCCCTGGAGATCTGCAGGCCAAGATAGCGATGCAGCTCTCCAAGATCAGTACAGGTGTGTCTCTTCAGCAGCCTAGTCTTCACAGAGGCCAGTGCGTCCCTGTCAGGAGTAGCGAAGACCAGGTCGTCTACGTAGAAAAGGATGTAGAACGGAGTCTGGCCGGAACGCACAAACAGTGAAGGGTGAGCAGAGGACGGAAAGAACTGCAGGTCTGCTAACGTGGCACGTAGCGTGTCGTGCCACTCGTGAGGAGCCTGATGCAGGCCGTAGACCGGGCGCCTGAGAAGCCACTGGGTCCTAGGAGGGAAGATACCAGTGAAGCCCTGTGGTCGGTGCAGGTAGACCTGCTCATGTAGGCTGCCCTGAAGAAAGGCAGTAGAGAAGTCGAGGGAGTGAAGCTCGTAGTCACGCTGAGCTGCTACGTGTAGCAGCGCCCAAAGAGTGGTCATCTTCGGGGTCGGGGCGAAGGTCTGGAAGAAGTCAACCCCCTCGCGCTGACTGAAACCTCTGGCCACGTAGCGCGCCTTGAAGACAGGCGGCTCTCCAAGGGGGCGCTTCACCTTGAAGAGCCACCGACCATCGACTACGTTCACCCCAGGCGGGGGAACTGCGTCGACGTAAGTGCCGGTGGACCTCCAAGATGCCATCTCCTGCTCCATGGCAGCTATCCACTGAGAGGCCCAAGGTCCCGAGGTGGCCTCAGCGTAGGTGCGAGGGGTCCGGATGTCGAAGGCGTCTGGGTCACCCTCAGGGACTAAAAGCATGGAGCAGAGATGGGGAGCAGCCTCGGACAAGAAAGCCAGCTCGTACTGCCTGTCCTCTAGGACGTCACTGCCAAGGGCAGGAGCACCCCCGACGGACGGAGGACGGGCAGGGTCAGAGACCAGAGCAGTAGCGTAGTCAAGGCGGCGGGTAGAGGCGAAGTCAGCGACAGCAGCGACAAGTGCGTCAAGGCGCGAGACAGGAACAGCAGGGTCGGTAACAAGAGAGGCAAGGACCCGAGGGACAAGGGGACGAGCAGCACGGAGGTAGTCAGAGAACGGAGGAGGTGCAATAGCGAGGGACGAGGGAGGAGGGGACGGGAGGAGAGGAGGACAAGACGAGCGGGAACGGAGCAACATAGGGTGGGTGGGCAGCACAGGAGAGACGGGACGAGCACGGGAGGGACGACGAGCCCAAACGTGAGACGGAGGGGTAGGGTCAGGGGACAGCGGAGGAGACACAGGAGGGGAACGAGGAGGAAGACGGGCCGGAGACGAGTCCGGCGGCGGGAAAACAGGACCGTAGACAGGAAGGTCAGCGGGCGGTGGGAGAGACACCGGCGCGCGGTCCGGGGAGGGAAGGCCGAGCAGACGGAGAGCGGAGACCGGCGGCGACGGCTGCTGCGGCGGCGACAACGGCTGGGCCGGAACTCTCGGACCAGCAGAGGCAGAACGACCGTCGGCAGAACACTCAACAGCAGCACCCCGAGAACCAACACCCCCAGAGCGAGAACCCCCTCCAACACCAGCAGCACCCCCAGAAGCCACAGGACGAACACCCTCCTCCACACCAGCACCCCCAGGGGCCAAGAGCGGCGGCGGCAGTGGCGGCGACGACTGCAGCGGCAACGGCTGCGGCGGCGGCGACAGCGGCGATGGCGACGGCGGCTGCAGCGGGGTCGGCGACTGCGACAGTGGGGGCGGAGGCACCGGGGAAGGGGGACGCGGGAAGGATAGACCGGGGGTACCACCAGAGTCAACAGACTCCTCAACGGGGACAACCGACGGGAGGGGAGTGACGTGAGAGACACCAGACGGGGCAGGACGAGGCGGGAGAGGGGCAGGGGCTACGGGGGGAGAGGGAGCAAGGAATAGGGGGGGGGCAACTGGGAGACCTCGGTGAGGGAAGCGGCGGTAAAAGGAGACAGACTCGTCAAAGGTAACGTCACGAGAGTGGAGGAAGCGGTGAGACGCCGGGTGATAGAAAAGCCAGTCAGACGAGTCCAGGGGGAAACTGAGGAAGACACAGGGGACAGTGCGGGCAGTGAGCTTGTCCGTGCCAGAGGCACGAACGTGACCAAGGCAGCCCCAGACGTGGAACGCAGACGCGTCACCGGGGGACCCGGTCCAAAGAAGGGTCGGCGAAACCTGCGGCCGCTGAGAGCGTGGCCACAGGTTAAGCTGGTGAGCAGCGTAGCGAACACCGGGTGACCTAAGCGGTGGTGCCAGAGAAGGGACGGGTGAGTGAGGGACCGACACGAGCAAGCTGCAGCAACCTGGGAGGACGCACCAACCGGAGGGGAGGCGGTGTCTAGGGTAAACAGACCGGACACCGGGTCCCTGGGGAACGTCGCAAGGGGGGAACCTGAGACAGCCTCAGAACAGACAGCGAACCGCTCGTGCCTGGGGAACGTGGTGGTGACGCCGAGGTCCTGGAGACAGCCGACACCAACCAGGTTCCTCGAGAATGAGGGAACGTGGAGGCCTGTAAGGGAGCCCGAGGGAACAGCTGGACAGGGAAGGGACGTAGAACTGCGAGCGACGACAGGACCCGCAGAGGGGTCGGCGAGAGAAACGACAGCTGGCGTAGCAAGCGGCGTAAGTGCGGAACGGTCGCGGAAGAAGTAGGCAGAAGCACCGGAGTCGAGAGTGAAGGACAGCGCAGCAGTGGCAGGGGCGGGGAACAGAGCCGGTGCAGAGACGAGGCTAGACAAACTAGGCAGTCCTACGCCTGACGCAGCAGGGGAGGCTAGGCTACACAACGGTGCAACACCTAAACTAGAGAACACAGGATAATAAGATCCAGCAACACTAGCAGCGTCAGAATACATGGCATGCAAAGCAGGACCTATCTGATCCATGTCTAACTCAAAGATCGGCACGCCCTGGCGGAGCAGGCTGTGCCTGTCGGGGAGGTCCGGGGCCGGGCCAAAGCGACGACGAAATAGATCGTCGAGGCGGCGGAAACAGCGGGCAGTCGGGTGCGGGCGGCGGCACAGAGTGCCGCGAAGGGGCCCGGTCTGAAGCTGGGACTGACAGGTGACAGCACCGGAGCCACTGGTAGACGCCAAGCTGCGCGGGCCGCCACCACTGCCACCACCCCCTGAGGAGCCGGGCCAA